ACCTTAAAGTTACGGCATTAAGGCCAATCCCTGCAGGTACTCCACTTATTGTTGAGTTAAAACCTGTCAAAGATACCCACCTTGTTGCTCAATTTGACGGCAGCTGCCACGTGCAAGAAGGTATCGGTGGCGCGGGTGGTATCGTATGGTCGCCCGGACCAGTCCCGGTAATTCTTGAAACGATTGCCATCCCACTCCAGCCTTGTCCAGACTCTATGTTTGCGGAAATATGCGCCGCTGACGCAACGTTGGACAAGGCATTATCTCTAGCTGCTAGCAATCAAATTAGGGAGGTTATCCTTCAGGGCGACTGCATCAACATTGTAAAGCACTTTGCTGGTGCCTTGAGACTACATAGGGAAGACCTAGTGCGAAAACTGGACAACATGTGGCAAAAGTTAACGCACACACCCATTACAGTGCATTGGTCATACGTCCCTCGCGTCGGCAACAAAGTCGCTGATCACCTGGCAGGAATCGCTGCTAACAGTCTCCGCTACGAAGCACCCCTTCATGAAGATGTCTTCTTTGACTCGGGTGAGGGTCAGCCTCATATGCAAATAAACACTGAGTGCTTTCCGCCTATTCTGTTGCCTTCCAAGCAATGGCACCTGCAAGCTATACAGGACTTGCATTCCGGAGCTGAAACTATTTCTCTTGAGGCCCCCCCACTTTGGAATCCGGAACTGCTTTTGCGGTTTTGCCTCTACAATCGGATCAAGCCTCCCCCCGAGCTTGATACAACGTGGCCAGGGCTGGTCCAGTATCGAAGGCCATCTTTGCACCCACAGGGTAGATATTATGCCATACGGCACTGGCAAACGAGTAAAAGGCTAACACGTTTCTTGGCCATCGGACCGAACGCAATTGAAATCGACATGAAAGGTGCGCATTATACGCTTTTGCGCCTCCTTACATGTCACAGCCCTACTCACCCACCCCTCCCAACGTTGCTTGAAGCCAGGGAGCTATTTAGTAGTCACCTTGCACGCGCGCCCAAAGCACAAACAGTACAAACCAAGCACTTGTTGCAAAGAGCAGTTGGAATGGACAGCAATGCTTTCCTTCGGCATGTTTATGAAGGTAGTATTGCTGCTTATGCCATCCCCCCTGCCTTGGCAAGTTTTCTTGCACATTTGGTGCAGGCTAAAGCTACCCTCCAGGTTATGATCCAGCAAGGAATCCCTTTTTACCAACCGGATGCAAGGGTCAACAACAGGAATTGGGCAACTTTTGCACTTGAAGCTGCGGAAAGCTTCGTAATGCGAAAAGGGCTCGCTGCAATGCTCCCGTACTGCGCAGGCACAGTGCTTTGGGTACATGACGGGGTGTACGTCAAAAATAGAAACGCAGTTTCACCCTTCATCGAAGGGGCTACTGAAGCGTTGGTTCAGCTCATCCAGGTGGGGCAGCACTGTCATCCACAGGTCACACCTAACCAGGAATTTGCTAACCTACAAGATGTCTTTGCTATTACCACCACGAAGAGTGAATTTAATGCGGCAGTTGATGCGTTAAACGCTGCGGGTATCGCGTGTCATAGCCCTGCTCTCCCAAAGCACCCAAAGGCAACCACCAACAGGGTGTCCAAGCGCCTTATCCTGGAAGTTCAGGATATACTAGAGGTCGAGAGGCAAAGAGACGATAAAAGGAGACGCGTTGATGTTACAGCTGTTCCGCGTAGGGGATTGTGGGTAACACCCCCCTCGTTGTGATGCGTGTAGTCCCCATTTCAACCACCCTCCCTCTTTCGTGATGGCGGCACCTTTGGCTCAGACCAGTTGTGAACGCCCGGGCACAACCAAACATGCTGGCCGCCACACGCTGCCTCCTGGCTTGGCGTTACCATGAAGCCATTGGTAGTCATTCCAGCACAGCTGACTTCGAACTCACAGTCCTCCCTGCTGCAGCGGGAGCGATCCTCGTGGCTCTCTTAGAGGAAAGCAAGTCGAACGAAGCCCTTTCCCCGTACCATAAGGATCGTTTATATCGAGGCGTCTCCTTTGGTAATCCACTGATCATTCACGAGATTGTCGAAGATCTGGATGAGGAAAAACTCCTACTTGCATGGACTCTCATTGAAGTCATTGCAAGGCTGGACGCTGCCACTCAACCTCGCGCTACCGTGTCAATGCTATGGAAAATAAGTGCACCAAATCTCCGTGCCATCTCGTGCGTTGGAGAACGTGCGCTTGCCCAATCACTTTCGGAGCACTTTTCTTTGACCCCCAAGTGGTCTTCACGAGTTGTCGGGGCTTTAATCGGGCACAAAACTGGATGGGGTAGGGTAGAGGCATTGCTCCAGGTCTTAACGCCAAGAGCAACAGTCATTGCCCGTGAACTGTGTGAGTGTGAACAATTCCCCTATCACTTCTTTTGGCCGTGGTAGTCATACCTTGTTTCTTCTCACACAATAGATCCAGAGCCACGTTATTGGCTTTAATGCCCCTGGCTGGACCCACCTCACTTTGGCCATCTGTTCGCAGACAGTGGAGCTATGTGCCAATGTGTCCACTGAGTGAGGGTGTGGTTGCCCCTTGTACTTTGTGCTCGGTGGGCTTTATTGCCGCTTATGGTACTTGTACCTTTACGTGCTCCTCTGTTATTTGCTTCGTTGTTTGATCACTGCTAACATTGTGATCACCTACCCCTCCCCATCCGAATATAGTTGGCACATGCGTGACAGTTATTTTGCTCAAGCGCTCGTTATGGGAGCACTGACCCTTAACCCGCGCAATGGCCTTCTGTCTGGATTTGGCGCCGGATCATCTTAGGAAGATTCTTGGCTCTTCCATCCATACTTCGCCCTGCCTCTTCTCGTATGACAACAAATTCTGCACCGTGGAGTCCAGTATCGCCTTTTGCATTATGCAGCTGGCTGGCACGGTCTCCATTCGTGCACACTTGGATGCCGATGTAAAGTCCTCCGAATTGGTTGGGGCTGCTCTCCAGCTTATCCACCGCTGTTGGTCCAAGGGACTTGCCCTCCAGTTAAGGGAGATAGATGGATGCGGATGCCTTGAGTGGCAGCAATGGGGGTTGCAAACTCTGCGCGCTATGGGTTCGGTGAGTGTGGCGTGGCATAATGTACTTGCTGGCCACATCGGGCAGGCGTATATAATTGCGCTCCCGGTAACATTGCATGCATCTTGCAGAATTGCCACTACCACCCTGGGCAGCTACGAGGTGTTTTTTCTTCGGTTGAGCTCGCTGTCCTGTCTGCCTGTTTTCCGTCTTCATGCACCTCTTCTCGCATACCAAAGGTCACCTCCCACCCTGCTTGCTCGTGCCACCCACCATGGTTTTTGGCCTGGCGTTCTTAAACGCCCCTCTGGGCCCCTCCCAGCCGAGAATGGCACCGGTGCGCCACGAGTGCAAGAGTACCAGTTCACCACCCAAACGGCCTGCGCCTTTCACGAACAGGGTCTTGGTGCGACCTGTGCTTTCGTTGGCCAAATCACCACCTTCGTCCTCGTTGAAGTTGGACTCGAGTTTGGATGTATGCTCAAGTACACCATGTGTTGCTCACCCTACACGCACGGAGAGTGGTACCTCCTCGACTCTACCCAACTAGGCGCTGAACTTCTTCCGCTCCTCCTGGAAAACATGGCCTTCCGACTTGATCTCAATCTGGTGCAAATCCAAGTAGTTGTCCAGGGACTGACTTTTGCTGTCCCTCTAGTCAGCTTTCTTGTTGATTGGCCTGTTGGCACGGTCTTTATTGCTGTTGCCTTCCCCTCCTTTGAGCACATGGTAGAGGCGCATCCGGTCCTGGTAGGGTCTTACTTTAGTAGGCGCCTCTGTATTGTCAATCCGCCTGATGGGATGCTCCCTCTCAATCTCACAATCGATCCAATGCTGCCGGTCCTAATGCTGCAAATACTAATTGTGCAACACATGCGGCAACGGAGTGGTTACCTTGAAAGTCGGGCTTTCGTACTTTGCGATGAACAGGGCTTTGTTGCGGACACGTGCACCAAAATCCAAACAGCGTTCCATGAGGATGCGAGGGTGCTTCTTAAGTACAAGTGCCTCACCTTCGAAGGTCACCTGTTTAGATTGGTCTCCGCCTCCCACAGCCTACTTTGATGCTAGGACGGCTGGCTTTGCTGCATTGGTAACGCCTTCTTGCCGCCTTTTGGCTCACACTGGCGTAGTAGTGCTTTGGCTCATGGGAGTCTGAGGCTGCCCCGCGACGTCACTTTCCTGCCGCCACACTATACGACTCGTTGCCTTGCGGCCCAACTTGAGCATGTCAACAGAGGAAGATTGCCTTGACAGCGACCCAAGGCAGCTTGAGTACGCCCGTACTCTTGCTCTGCCGCAAGCTCTGTCCTTGGATTTGTCCCCGGTGGCCTTGACGCTGGTCCTAGGCAATGACCCTCTAATTCCTCTTTGCGGAGGTGGAGAGGACCCTGTACAAAGACTGACATCGTCAGTCGCGCAACGCCTTCTTGTGGATCTCTGCAACATCAAGGTGGTTCTTGCCCTGCCATTGCAGAGTGTTCATGGCACTGAAAATGCCGCGGATGCCTTCCAGGCTTGGCTTAGTTGGAGCATAAGACAAGAAATAAAGATCGGCCAGGTCTCGGGCGGCTTAGACTTTCATTGGCACATGCTTCATTGGTGCCAATTGGCTATCCAGTCTGTGGCCTGTCTTGCATCAGTGAACCCTCCCCGAACGAACCACAAGCTAAGGGGATGGGACCTTATTCCTGATATCAGAAAAATTTTCTGACGAAAATTAGCTTGCATTTTGGAATTGGAAGTGACGAGTTCCACAGATCTTCACGAAGTCTTGCATGTGTTGGTGAGTCTCTTTCCCTTGAGCATGCTTGGGTATTTCCGTCATGCTGCAGCCTTTCCCTCTTCAGGTGAGGCTTCGGAAATTTTTGTTGTGGGCCCGCTACGCTCTTAGTGCTTCTTAGAGGTTTCGGGCCTGCTAACCTGGTGTTCCGCCTTAGGCGGCGTGCACGCCAGACCCCTGAGTGGGCTGGCAGATGGACCGTGCTCCCGAGCTCACTGGTTCTGGTTCGGCCTCCTCTGGCACGTCCAGTACCGGGACCGTGAGTTTGCTCACGCGTGGGCAGCTTCGCTTGCGCCGCCGGGTGGCTTTTCAGTTTGCCTGGCTCAACAGCTTGTCTGCACGGATCGCCCTTCTCGAAGACGACTCTCTTGTCCGCAGGGTGCTTGCTGCTTGGTCCTCAGTTTTGCCCAGGCGTCAGGCTTGATGCCTTCTTCTCCGATCCTGTCCGAAGCTGCCATCTGCCCCGTTTGCAACGGTGACTTGTTTGTGCCAGACAGTGCCTTGCCTTGCAAACAGTGATATGGAGTTGCTCGGTTCGGGATTGTCTAGAGGGGATTTTGCAGCCGAACTTCCAGAGAATTTTGCATCCGAGCATCCTGTTGCTCCTTCCCGCCAGAGTGAAGGCTCCATTGAGGAATTCCCTATGGACGAGGAACTGCATGCCTCCCCGGAAGGTCCCCAAAAGGACGCGCTTGTTGTGTCGCCGGCTTCATCTCCTGCGAAGGCCCTTTCCTACGAGCCATCTCCTTTTGATATGCCTGTTACGAGCTGTGCCTCGTTGGGATCTGACCTTGATGCCGCTTCGGTTGATGATGGTAGCGGTGTTGATGAGGAAAGGGCTTGGTGGTCTCAAGTTGCAGAAGAAGTGAATTTGCACTCATCCTGTGATCCGCTCGCAGGGCAGGTCGTTGACTTCAGGACCACCTCCGCAGCCGCCCTTCGTTCTCAGTGGCAGTTGGAAGATGCTGGTGCCCTTGTTCAACCTTGGGAGACGGGGGTGTTTGGGGAGATTTTCGGAGGCAAGCCCGCTTCCTTGTTTCCCCAAAACAAAAGGTCGGTCTTTCCTCTGTTGGCCAGCGAAGGTGTGTCTTCAAATGAGATTTCTGAGAGCCTAGCCAAAAGGCCCAAGAAATCGACCAGACCTTTGAGCTTCGATCGCGTGGTGCAACAACGTGCCATTGTCAGTTGGAGGGATCAGAGAAGCTCCCAGTTTGACATTGGGGTTGAGCTTTGGCGCCGCTTGTTGAACTCTTGGTCGGGATGTTCTCTTGATAGCGTGATTGGTTCTTCGCAGGACGCTCAGAGCCAAAGAGGAGTCCTCACAGACCTGTTTAGAGGGAAGGCGCCCTCTACGCTGGTTAAAAGGTCAAGAGCCGTCTCGTTCTTGTTGGAGCACCTTGAGCCAGAGCATTTCTTCCCTTGTTCCGAATGTTCCTTGTACGAGGCATTAAAGCGCATTGAGCGCAAGGGGGTGCCACTCAGCCGGATCACTTGAATCATGGAAGCCCTGAATTTTGTAAGGCATGTTTTGGGAGTACATGAGGTGGATTGTCTGGTGAACAGCCGCCGGTGCCGGGGACTATGCACCAATGAGGTTTTCACGGAGTCTAAACAAGCACCTGCGCTGACGCTGAGCCAGCTGGAGAGGCTTCATGTTGTCTTAGAGGAACATGCTGATGCGTGGACGAGGCATTTCGCTGGTGCTGCACTCGTGACTTGTTACGCCAGATGCAGGCGGTCGGACGTCCAGCACACTGACAAGATCGTATGGGATGCAGACTCAGAAGGCAGGCTCGCCTATGTCGAGTTGCAAATTGGCTTGCACAAAACCAGCCGACTACAGAGCAAGAGACACCGATTCATGCATGCTGTGGCCCCGGCTGTTGCTTTGCGGGGCGACTATGCTTCCAGGTGGAGAGAGTACCGGCGCGAGCTTGGGTTGGCAGACCCACCTCACATGCCTTTTTGCCCTGCTCCTGACCGAAGCGGAGCCCCGACTGTGCGGGGCATTGAATCAGATGAAGCGACGGCGTGGTTGAGGCTGATCTTGAAGGAGGATGATGACAGTGAGTGTCGTGTTTCTTCCAAATCCTTGAAGGCCACGGTGATTTCATGGGGAGCGAAGCGAGGTCTCGAGCCACTCGTGTTGCAGAGGTTAGGCTACCACGCTGCAGGAGGCATGGATGTTGTTTACTCTCGTGATGCCCAAGCTCCTCTGCTGTTACTTGTGGAACGCTTGATAAAGGAGATCAAAGACGGAGCTTTCCGCCCAGATGAAACTCGGGGAGGCAGGCTCGACATCAGGCGCTTGGCTCGCTTAGCTGTGCCAGCAGTTGGTGCAGCGGTCGAAGAGGTGTGCCCCGAAGCTGGAGTTGCCCCAGCTGACGATGAACTCGAACCACCGGCGCCGGAAAGGGCAAATCTTGGTCCCTTTCATGGCGAGGGAGGTGATGATGATGGCGCAAAGCCTGGCAGTGAGGCCTCCGAGAGGCCAGCAGACTCTCCATGTTGTGAGTCCTCCTCATCATCATCTTCTGAAGACGAGGATGATCAGCCCATGTCGTGGGTGGGTCCGAGGAGCGCAGTGCCTGCGGGTTTTGATCTGTGGATGCATGCCCAGTCCTTGATCACCCACTTGGCGCCAAGCGCAAACTTCCGGAACTTGTTGGCTTGCGGTCGACGTGTGGGCCCGCAGCATCGCAAGTTGGAAGGGAGGCAGCTTGGAGAGGCCAAGCAATGTAAATTTTGTTTCCAGTTACCAAAGGGTCCTTGATGTACCCATCCCGAGTCAAAAGGGCGAGATGCATCAGTGATGTGCTTCAGTCATGGTGACATGTCCCATGGCAACCGTTCTGTATGCACACGTGTGGTGATCTTTCCCATGGCGATCTTCCTTCTGCGGTGAGGGTGCCGGGTGAGACTGTCCCTGGCTGATCCACCCTGAGGTGATTCGCAACTTAGTGATGCATTTGGGTCGTGTGCACATTGCAACCATGGCTCAGGAGTGAAATGCAACACTACTTCTTGATGGTAGCTCTGATTGCAAGGGTCTACCTGTGACTCTTTTAGGAAGAACAGTGCAGCTTTTATGAAGGGTCGACAGTCCCGTGTGTTCAATCTTGTAGTAGCGAGCTATCATGTCCCAGCTGATCAACTCGGAGGCTGCATTCAAGCAGAGATGCGACGAGCTCAGTGCAGATGGATCCTTGCATCGTGCATTGGAGTCGCAACACATAAAGACCTTCAGACAACTTGCTTTTGCAATAGGCACCCCCAGGTCAGAGCCGTCTGTGCAGCAATACCAGGATTTAGCTGTGCAAGTGTTCGGGGCTGCGCCTACTTTGGGTAAAGTCTCGTCCCTACGAGACTTGCACTTTGAAGCCACAAGCTATGTGATCCAGGCATTCAAGGAGCAGGTCACCTCAGACGGTGTAGATGGGGGCATTCGCAAGCTTCCCTTGCCTGAAAGACAGGCGCGTGCGAGGGAGTAGCAAGGCCGCTTGGCTGGTGTTGCGATCACAGGCGAACTGCAGCCTTCAATAATATAGAAAGTAGGCTTATGGGGGGGGTTTTTTTTGAGCCAAAAAAACGCTCCAAAACGCTCCAAAATGGCTCTTTTGAGTGAGAGAGGTGTGAGGAGAAGGTATTCATTGCTGAAAAAAACGCTCAACTTGGCTCCAAAACACCACCTTCAACCTGAGTAAGGAGAAGGTGTTCATTGCTGAAAAAAAACGCTCAACTTGGCTCCAAAACAGCACCTTCAACCCAAGCAGGCTTGTAGGTTTTTTAAGCTAAAAAACGCTCCAAAAAATGCAGAGCAGAATCGCAACGCATGTATTTTTGGTGGAAAAACGCTCAACTTGGCTCCAAAACAGCACCTCAACCTGAGTAAGTCTGCAGGGAGAAAAGGTTTTAAAGCGGAAAAAAACGCTCAACTTCGCTGCAAAACCAGCCCCTTCTTATCAAAAAACGGCCCATTAATGACTCAATAATGACTCAATAATGACTCAATAATGATTCAAGATGACTCAATCATGACTCAAAATGATTCAATAATGACACAACAATGCAGGGCAGCAGTGGCAGGGCAGCAGAGCGGAGTGGCAGCAGTGGCAGGGCAGCAGGGTGGAGGGGCAGGGCAGCAGTGGCAGGGCAGCGGTGTGGCGGAGTGGCAGGGCAGCAGTGGCAGGGCAGCAGGGCGGAGTGGCAGGGCAGCAGTGGCAGCGTCGCGTTGTAACCGCGTTGTAATCGCGTTGTGACCGCGTTGTGACCCCCGCGTTGTGACCGCGTTGTGACCGCGTTGTGACCGCGTTGTGACCGCGTTGTGACCGCGTTGTGACCGCGTTGTGACCGCGTTGTGACCGCAAGGTGTTGTCAACATGGAGCGAAAAAGAATTTCGTTTGTTTCCATAATGAGACAAATATGAGCCAACAATGATTCAATAATGACTCAATAATGTCGCAATAATGACTCAATATTTGCAATCTTTGCTCGAAGCAGAAGTTGCAGCAGTAGCAGTAACAGCAGCAGCAGCAGAAGTAGTAGGCAGACTTCGAAAAGACTCCAAAAAGACTGCAGTCTTCACCGTAAAAGATTCCATAAAGACTGAGTCTCTCACCGAGTCTCTGCAGCGACTGCTGCTTGTGCATTATACTGCAGTTTGCAGCGCTTTTACGATTCGCCACTGTTCTTCGTGATGCTGCAACAATGCTGATCAGCGGGACGGTGGCAGAACAGACAGGGCAGTGGGGCGGACTGGCCAGGCGGGAGTGCAGAGCAGCAGCAGTGGCAGAGAGCAGCAGTGGCAGGGCAGCAGTGCTAGGGCAGCAGTGGCAGGGCAGTAGTGCAGAGTGGGCAGGCTGGCAGGGCAGCAGTGGCAGAGCAGCAGCAGTGGCAGAGAGCAGGCAGTGGCAGGGCAGCAGGGCGGAGTGGCAGAGCAGCATTGGCAGCCACAAGGTCGCCACAGGGTCGCCACTGGGTCGCCACTATGATTCCGCGGCTCGCTCGGTTTGATTTATGGTAACTTATTCCAAAGGCCACTAAAATGTCACGACAGCCTCTTTTGTAGCAACGTCACTACAACGTCACTACAACGTCACTACAACGTCACTACAACGTCACTACAACGTCATTACAACGTCATTACAACGTCACTACAACGTCACTACAACGTCACTACAACGTCACTACAACGTCATTACAACGTCATTACAACGTCACTACAACGTCACTACAACGTCACTACAACGTCACTACAACGTCACTACAACGTCATTACAACGTCACTACAACGTCACTACAACGTCACTACAACGTCACTACAATGCACAAAAAACTCGTTTGCTGCAGAATAAAAAAAATGCAAATCTTGTTCAAAAAGACACAAAAAGAATTTTGCTTAATTCAAGAATGGCTCAAGAATGACAAAGTATGAGCCAACAATAACTCAACAATGTCGCAATCTTGCTCGAAGTAGAAGCAGTAGTAGCAGAAACAGCAGTTTGCAGCAGTAGAAGTGGTAGGCGGACTTCGAAGAGACTCCAATAAGACTGCAGTCTTCACCGTAAAAGATTCCAAAAAGACTGAGTCTTTAACCGAGTCTCTGCAGTGAAGTGCTGCTTCTGCGTCATACTGCAGTTTGCAGCGCTTTTTACGACTGTTCTTCGCGATGCAGCTGTAACGGTCACTACGCGTTACGGGTCACGACGGGTCACGACGGGTCACTACGGGTCACTACGGGTCACTACGGGTCACTACGGGTCACTACGGGTCACTACGGGTCACTACGGGTCACTAGGGGTCAGTACGGGTCACTACGGGTCACTACGCGTCACTACGGGTCACTACGCGTCACTACGGGTCACTACGGGTCACTACGGGTCACTACGGGTCACTGCGGTTCACTACGGGTCACTACTCACTACTACGGAGTCACTACGAGTCACTGCGGGTCCGCTGTGCTACCTTTGGATGGATCGATTAGTTGCAGATCGCAATGGCCGAAGGCGCTCGCAGCGTTCGTTGTGTGCACGTTCGAGGTGGACGTGAATCCATCACAGTCGATCTGCTTTGGTTTGTTGTCGAGCGTTCTTGGAAATCGTCGCGCGTGGGATTGTTTCGGTGCTGGCCATCAGCTCCGCTGACACAATTGAAGCTTCGCATGGCAACATGGATTTGCAAATTGTAAACGTAGAAATTCTCGAGCATCTCTCGAAACGAGGCTGGAACACCCTCCCCGAATCACAATAAGTTCCGTTTATGCGGGCTCGGAGCCGTAGGTCGCGGAATCGAAGGGGCTCTAAAGTGCTTGCAAACGGGGCGCGCGGCGGTTCGGGAGCAGTTTGAGGGCGCGTGGAGAGCCTGCGAGCTGTTCGGAAGCAGTTTAAGGGCACACGCTGGGCCTGCGAGCTGCTAGCCCCCCATGCCCCCCCTTAAAGCCCGTTTCAGCGCTCTTTGCAAGAACTTTGCTTTTTATTTTCGAGCCCTGGGAAGCTTGTCATTCTTGTCTCCTGCCGCTGCCCTCTCGGGGGCTGGTCATTCTGTCACAGGTACTTGTGTGCTCTGGAGGACGTCTAAACAATGACAGGAATGACAAGAATGACAAGCCGGCCCGAAAAAAAAATCAATTAATTCTTCCCGGCCTCTCTTCCGGGCAGGGCGCCCGTTTCGTCGGCCTGAACCGAGGCCGGAATACCGGTTCCGGGGTCGGAATTCCGACCTTGCTCCTTTCGGAGCCCCCCCGGTTTCTATCCCGAGCGGCGCCCGTTTTGATCCGAAGCATGTCACTTGCAAACATGGCCACACCGACTGCACGTCGCAAGGTTGACGAATGAAACCCAGAGCCCGCACAGCTGCGAGCACGGATTCTCCATTCACGAATCAGCCAAAAAAATCATGCTAACAAGTAAGACAAGTTGAACGGCAGAGCTGGACAACACTTGCACAAAATTACTGTCATGCTTGAAGCGTTTTTCACATCATGCTGGCAGGTGAGTACTGGCTGAGCAAAGCAATTCAAGCGCCCCCAGATTTCTTCAAACGGATTGATCGCGTCTGTACACTTAAGCACGACTAAGAGCGCCTCTGTGAAACTGATTTTGACCAGCGCTGGCATCTGTCGCTGGTCCTGTACCCGTTGCATGCCCCGCTTGACTTGAAAACTTGAACGCCGTAGCCTGCTACAGGAATGTGAGCGTTGAACTGCTGTCTGCTAATCCTGGAAGTCAAGCAAAGCCGCAGCGCAAAAAACGTCAGTGATGCTGTTGCTACCTCAGCCGAGAAGCTCACACAACAAGGACGGATGCAACTTCGCAGTGCTCAAACTCCGGCGCTGCTGAGGCACACGCGCGCAACTTAAGCATCGTGCGCTGGTGGCAGCGTGAAGCCATAGCAATCTGCCCTGCGAGCGGGGCGGTGGCAAAACCCCTAAGCTGCAAAGTCATCGAAACCAAGTGCTGGGCTTGGATGTGCCGCGATTTACTTCTGCTTCTTCGTCTTCCTTCACCCAGGCCTTGTCCTGCGAAGTCACGCTGAGACGCGGAACAGGGAGGAGAGTGAGATTGTCATGAAAAGCTCTCCTTCAGACTGTATACATCAATATTGGATGCTGCGATGGTGAGCTTCTCCTTCTTTTCAATTGCCTCGAAGCCAATGGAAGTGCTCAGCAAAGGGCTCGCTGGAAAATGAAAGCTCAGTTCCGCTTCAGGACTTGTTGCCCACAAGACATGCGCACTCAAAACCTCAATCTTTGCCATCGTCCTATTGCAATCAGTTCAGACAGGATGAGCGAAGTTCGGCTTGAGGTCAGCACTTCCTTCAGGTCATCCACCTGACGACGTCCACCAAAAGTGTGGAGAACCGCTCATAAACTCATAAGAACCGCACTGAGGCAATCGAGTGGAGCTAAGGTCGCGGCGTTGGCCAAGGCTCCTTTCACTTGGAACGCATTGACTGGCTCAAACTCCTTGCCATCCTCGACTTTCAAAGGTGTTGCTTGCAATTGTCACAATTCATGCGTGGGTTCTTTTCAACGTTCTGAAAAAATCAACTCCGCAGTTCTGTCTTCCAGAACGCCGTGCGTTAAACATGGACATGATATGCATGCATCGGAATCCTCCTTGGGCCTCAGCTTTTCTGTGACCTTCCCATCCTGCGAGTCGGGTGGCTCTAAACTGTGGCAGACATGAACTGACGGCAAACTTGCAGAAACCCTCCAGCAAGGAACAGCCGAAACTCCCAGCCTCCCGCCCCTCCCCTCCCCCACGATCAGACGTGTGCCACTATGGGCATGCCGCATGCTTCGCCCCTGTCGACGAGCGTCCGAGACACACTGGAGCCCAGATCCCAAAGGTGCCCCAACCCTGGATTCCTTGGTGCGGATCAGCTCCCGCACCCAGACGATGGTGCCTGTCTTCCATTCTTCACATGTGCAGTCGGAACAGAATATAATGGGAACGAACGCTCGCCTGAAGATTTAGCCCTCAGTTTCATGTGTGTGCGCACTCAGGCAAATGTACCAAAACATCAGCACACACTGCTCAACCAGAAATGTCTCTTCTGACGTGCCTTGAGCATGACCCCGGGTGGCAGAAGACTCACACAGCCTCAAAAGTTGTCGTGTCAGCAAAGACGGCTCTTCCTGCTGCCGAACAAAATTTACCGCTGCCTCTGTTTCAAGTCCTCAACTTCTCGCCGAAGACCTTCGATTTGCCTGCAGCTGTTGAACACCGAGGCGCGAAACGCAAAACACACAGCCTCACATGTTGTCGTCGCAGCAAAGGCTGCGCCTCAGGCGCTCCAACGAAGTTGGGAAGGACAGCAGATGCTTTCTATTGTACCAGAATACGTGGATGCACGTATGCTTTGCCAGCTTGGCACCATCAAAGCCATTGAAAAAGTACAAAGACTGTCCGCGGGGAAACTTGCATGTTTGCGCTTCCACCAACCATGTCCATGCACAGCTTTCGCGTTTGTGTTGCTGCCAAGGCTGGGCAATTACTTCTATCAGCGCACCATTCTGGCAAAGAGTCCGGATCTGTGTCCAATCAACTGCCGGGGGGTCCTCCATCCGAGCAAGTTGGATGGGGATCGCCATAGGTTCACAATCGCCCTTTGGCCCGGAAACAACGAAGTCGACCTCGAACGCGTTCACTTGTTTTGACCAAGGCTTCACGCCCATGATCGCACTGGCACGTCTTTTCCTGTCGCTCGTCGACTGCGCAGCCCGCAGCAACTCTCGCATGTAGGTGTCGTGTGAAGATCTGCTGCAGTCCATGTCAGGGTTTTTTTGAAGAGCTTCGAAAAGCTCCCGGCGCTGCTTGAGTTTGTTGTTGAACTCGTCGGTTATCTGCCATAAACCTTCCGTGGTGCGTTTGAAGACCTGGTTTCGTTCGAATTCCAACCCAAGCTGTTCCAAGACCAAGCTGAAATTTTGTTCAACCTCCTGACCCAAGGCAATGCTTGCGAAGGAGAGTTGATCAATATTTACTACTGCTTGGACTTCGGGACCTTCGTCGAATACCCCATGACTCAGGCGCGTCGCCCTGGGTCCTGCTGGCGCCGCAGGCAGCGCGGTGGGCAAAGTCCAGACAACTGGTGCGGCAGATGGGTGGCAGCTACCGCTAATGTACATTGCTTGGCAGGCATTTGGAGCGGCTGCGGATCGGCGCACCACAGCAGGGATTGCTTGACCTGTTTGGCCAGCCCAGCTAACATTTGGCTAGGCAGGAGTGTAAAACGACCGGGGCATGGCTGGCTGGTTGCCGCTAGTCATTTTTCAATCGTGCTGACACGCGTTCAGTCGCTAGCTAATTGGCTACAAGGATGAAAGTTCTAGAAAACTCTTCGCACAAAAGATCTACGAAAACAGCAGCTCGGGGCAAGCTGAGACTGCGGCTGCTCTTATTTTGACATTCTTACCTTGCTACCCACATGTCTTGAGCAGTCTGGAAACATTCGCAACCTCAAGCTTAAGAATTTTTTGCAAGCATGCGGCAGCACCCCTTCTCTCCCGTTCACAGCGCCGCGGTCACCGTCGTCCGAGGCGAGCGTCGTCGGTCGAACTCTTCGTGCGAAAGTCAGCGAGCCTAAACGAAACAACCGAGGAATCCATGAATGCCGCCGCTCCAAGCAAAACCCCTTCGCGACACCCAAAAAAAGGGCGATACGAGATTGATTCCTGCCTGCCCGGGCCCCAGAGACGAGGAATACAAGTAGAAAAACTCTGTTACCTGCCCGGAGAGACAAGTGAGACATTGAGAAGGCGTCTCGCTTGTCTCACCAGGATCTGCCATGCATTTCTTTTCGCTGGCAGCGCTCTCCACTCTCCACGAATTTCGCGGCCCGCATTTTGCTCCCGAATCCCTCCAAATAGCTCGCAGTCTCGAGCCTCGCAAGCCCTCTGCACTCAACCTGAGCGAACGTTCAAAGCACTCAAGCTGCTCCGAAATGCTGCCGGGCAACGCACTCCAACACACAAGTGGACAACATCGAAATTAATTTTTGATCCAGACCATTTTAGTTGATTAGTTGCAAAATAGTAATGCTCATTCTTTTTTTTTAGATTGTTTTCGTCAAGTATTCCTCAAACAAGCAATTTTTTTTATTTTTCGAAAAACAGTTGCTTCGTGTTTCAGCCTCGCCGGCGACTGCTGCTGCTTCGAGCAAAGATTGATTGAGTCATTTGTTGGCTCATTTTTTGTCATTCTTAAAAGTCATTATTGAATCAAACGACATCTTTTTTCGTGCCTTTTTTGCAGCAACGTATCCAATTTAGAGTTGATTTTTTTCTCTCTTTGCAGCAAGTGACGTTGCAAAAAGACTGTGACATTGTAGTGACGTTGTAGTGACGTTGTAGTGACGTTGTAGTGACGTTGTAGTGACGTTGTAATGACGTTGTAATGACGTTGTAGTGACGTTGTAGTGACGTTGTAGTGACGTTGTAGTGACGTTGTAATGACGTTGTAATGACGTTGTAGTGACGTTGTAGTGACGTTGTAGTGACGTTGTAGTGACGTTGTAGTGACGTTGCTACAAAAGAGGCTGTCGTGACATTTTAGTGGCTTTTGGAATAAGTTACCATAAATCAAACCGAGCGAGCCGCGGAATCATAGTGGCGACCCTGTGGCGACCTTGTGGCTGCCAATGCTGCTCTGCCACTCCGCCCTGCTGCCCTGCCACTGCCTGCTCTCTGCCACTGCTGCTGCTCTGCCACTGCTGCCCTGCCAGCCTGCCCACTCTGCACTACTGCCCTGCCACTGCTGCCCTAGCACTGCTGCCCTGCCACTGCTGCTCTCTGCCACTGCTGCTGCTCTGCACTCCCGCCTGGCCAGTCCGCCCCACTGCCCTGTCTGTTCTGCCACCGTCCCGCTGATCAGCATTGTTGCAGCATCACGAAGAACAGTGGCGAATCGTAAAAGCGCTGCAAACTGCAGTATAATGCACAAGCAGCAGTCGCTGCAGAGACTCGGTGAGAGACTCAGTCTTTATGGAATCTTTTACGGTGAAGACTGCAGTCTTTTTGGAGTCTTTTCGAAGTCTGCCTACTACTTCTGCTGCTGCTGTTACTGCTACTGCTGCAACTTCTGCTTCGAGCAAAGATTGCAAATATTGAGTCATTATTGCGACATTATTGAGTCATTATTGAATCATTGTTGGCTCATATTTGTCTCATTATGGAAACAAACGAAATTCTTTTTCGCTCCATGTTGACAACACCTTGCGGTCACAACGCGGTCACAACGCGGTCACAACGCGGTCACAACGCGGTCACAACGCGGTCACAACGCGGTCACAACGCGGGGGTCACAACGCGATTACAACGCGGTTACAGCCACTGCTGCCCTGCCACTCCGCCCTGCTGCCCTGCCACTGCTGCCCTGCCACTCCGCCACACCGCTGCCCTGCCACTGCTGCCCTGCCCCTCCCTGCTGCCCTGCCACTGCTGCCACTCCGCTCTGCTGCCCTGCCACTGCTGCCCTGCATTGTTGTGTCATTATTGAATCATTTTGAGTCATGATTGAGTCATCTTGAATCATTATTGAGTCATTATTAAGTCATTATTGAGTCATTAATGGGCCGTTTTTTGATAAGAAGGGGCTGGTTTTGCAGCGAAGTTGAGCGTTTTTTTCCGCTTTAAAACCTTTTCTCCCTGCAGACTTACTCAGGTTGAGGTGCTGTTTTGGAGCCAAGTTGAGCGTTTTTCCACCAAAAATACATGCGTTGCGATTCTGCTCTGCATTTTTGGAGCGTTTTTTAGCTTAAAAAACCTACAAGCCTGCTTGGGTTGAAGGTGCTGTTTTGGAGCCAAGTTGAGCGTTTTTTTTCAGCAATGAACACCTTCTCCTTACTCAGGTTGAAGGTGGTGTTTTGGAGCCAAGTTGAGCGTTTTTTTCAGCAATGAATACCTTCTCCTCACACCTCTCTCACTCAAAAGAGCCATTTTGGAGCGTTTTGGAGCGTTTTTTTGGCTCAAAAAAAACCCCCCCCATAAGCCTACTTTCTATATTATTCCTTCCTTTGCCCTGATTGACAAGTGCAATCACATGTACGAAAGTGGGGCGCTTCTCTAGGTGCCACCCAGTGCTTGCAGCAAGCGCGATACGGAAATCTCCGCAGGTTTGCAGGAAAAGTCTTCTGTTGTGCAGTCAGAACGTGACTCCTTGAAGCTTGCAGTTCCCCTGGAGAAGCTTCCTGTCGATACGGCTACGCCCTTGGCCTTTGCAGTGGGCGCTTCAGAGGCGAGGCATAGCGCTGAACCAGTGCCAGCTTCTTAGCTGGTCCATCCATGAAGAGTATGTCCAGCGTCTGCTCAACGACAGCCTCAGTGCCGCCAAAGTTTTGCGCCGTGCAGCTGTCTCAGCTTGTCCGTGCAGACAAGGAGCTTTGGACCTATCTGGCGCGAGAGGTCTCCGGCCCATACAAGGTCACTGCAACGGGCTCCTGCCCGGAAAAACAGAGGGTATTTCAGTGTAACCCGACCACTCCCATGTACATAGCTGCCTGCAGCGAAGGAGGAACCTCTTACGGCCTCCTCCCTTGAGGCAACCTTCTGAGTGAGAGAGTCGAAAAGGGCGACCAGATCAGAACACGTGACCTCTCCGGCTTGCAAGGCCGAAGCCAAAACTTCAGGGTCGGGATGGCTAGAGGAGCGCAACTTCTTGCAAGACGGCTCGGAAAAGGGATCAATTTGCATGCACACTTGATCGGAACCAAGAGGCGACGCAGCAACAACTTCGGCCGCCGGATCCGCCCCGTATGGCACCTCTGAGGATTGTCACGACTTAGGTCGCGAGCGGCAGTTGGCAAAGCTATGACCGCCTTCTGGCAGAAAGCGCAAACGTGGAACCCTTTGAAGCAACGAGAAAGGGAGTCCACCACGACTGCAATCACGGTGATCTGTCGCTTCATCCGCAGGCATGCTGGCGACTCACCTTTCGCTGCCTTCATTTTCTTGGACCAGACCTTAAGTGAACTGCACAAAGATGTAAATAATGAGCCGACTCATGGAATCTGCTTATCCCTTTGACCTCATTTTCCCAGGGAGGTGTTTGGTTGCTGATGAAGATGGGCAAGTCCCGTGCCCAAGCAAATCCCTTCTTGACAGGCAGGATTCTCGACGTTTCCTCAGGCCCGATCTGGCTCCCGGCTGCCAAAAAGAATCCCATCGAGAAACGCATTTCAATCCACTCCGCACCCTTCTTTTTTCGGCACAGTGAGGCAGAGCGCTGAGCTTCATGCAAAAGTGAGAAGGCCAGGATGCCTCACCAGGGGCTAGGTGCAGACTGTTGAAACCCCCAGCCAAGAGCTCGGCCAGAGAAGGGACGGCTTCAAGAGAAAGAGGAAATCCAGCTGGTTGCGAACCCTGGAACATACTGAACCTCAGCAATCACACCCAGGCGGCCCTGGCAGGCCAGGAAGGCTGTAAGCACAGCAGCAAGAGATCGCACGGCAGAAAGCCCCTTTGCTGCCGCTGCCTCAGCCCCAGCGTTGTCGCAACGCAACGCCACAGAGACCAAGGTTCGACAGGTCGGTAACGTGCGATCACAAGCAAGCGAGAAGTTCCAACGCAGCGATGTGGAACTACAGAGAGCCTTCGAAGAGCGGGGACAACTCCCGAAGGGAATGGCGTCAACCAGAGGGGTTAAATCCAGCAAAGCCTTCCAGGCGGAGGTTTTTTTTACTGACGCCTCTTTACTGCATCAGTAGCGCAGTAGGTCGGTCTTGTTGGACTTGACATAAGGTGAAACGAAGTCAGCGCGCTCAAACCACCAAACACACCACGCAACCACCCAAGAAAAAAAGAAACAGAAGAACCAAAGCAAGTAAAGGCGCTGAACTACTAGGTAACTCCACGCACTCAGTACTCGAAGTTGTTGCTGAAGTTCCGGTGCAATCATACAGCACAGAGCATGCGGGGAATCGCAAATTGCGACACTGCCAGATTCTCAAAACCACCATTATGAGCCACTGGTGCGACATCATTCGAATCGAACCGAGGTCATTACTCGATGGTCAGAATCACGTACCCATCGTTAAGAACAGATAACAGACCCGCAGTGGCAAAGAGATGTTACGGTCAGACTTTCCAAGAAGAGAGGAAAGACGTGCGTATGCCCCATGGTGGTCAGCTAG